ATCGTCCTGGTTCCCATTTCCCTCCTCGTTCTTTGCTTGCTCGTCTCTCCGCATCCTCTTCCTCTGACCTGGGTTTCGAAGAGGATTGGAGGCGTCTCCTTCGTGTCTACTTCTAGCGGGAAGAGGAGAATCTTCCGTGAAGGAGCTGGAGGGAGTGAGCATGAGGTCAAGTCAGGAGGGAGAGAAGAAGAGAGGAGAGGGGAGGAGAGGGGAGGAGGGGGGGGGAGAGGGGAGAGGAGGAGATTCTGTGCTGAACCTGTGTCCAATCTTCTCTTCCACCTCCTCGTCGCTTATACTTTCTCTTATCGAGAGCTACACAAGTCAGAGGAGAGGAGGACGAGGGGGTGAAATAGAAAAACAAGGAGGAGGAGGAGGAGGAGGGAAGGAAGAAGCAAAATCATATGCAGAAGGAGGAAGAGAAGGAAGAGCGATTGGAAGACAGAAAGAGTTAGAGAGAGGGCGGGAAGGAAGGGACGAGGGAGCGAGAGGAGGGAGCGGGAGGAGGGAGGAGAACAAGACAGACCGAGGAAGCAGGTCGCTGTTTACTTTTCTCTTGTTCGGCCTCAGGCTTTTCCTGCAATCAAGTGCGATGTCATCATCCAGCAGGCAACAAGAACCAACTCAAGTGCGATGTCATCATCCAGCAGGCAACAAGAACCAACTCAAGTGCGATGTCATCATCCAGCAGGCAACAAGAACCAACTCAAGTGCGATGTCATCATCCAGCAGGCAACAAGAACCAACTCACCACCTGCGCTCCCTCGCTGTCCGTGCGCCCTGATGCCACCTCATTCGGCTGCTTCACCAGCCGTTCCTTTTCCTCGGCTTGTTTCTTCGCCATCTCCCTCTCCCTCTCCCTCTCCTCCTCCCTCTCCCTCTCCCTCTCCGCTTCCTGGTTCCTCCTCGCCTCCTCCTCGTCCTTCTCCTTTCCTTTGTCCTTGGACATGAACGAGAGAGCTGAGGGTTTGGAAATCTCAGAGTCGAGCTGATCTTCTTGATCGGCCGAAGTCTGTTGAAGGAGGGCAAAGAAAGAAGCAGCAAGTCCAAATGAGAAAGCATCCAAGACATGCAGGAGAGGACGGGAGGGGAGAAGAGAGGAGAGGAGAGGAGAGGAGAGAGGGGGAGAGAGAGGAGAGGAGAGAGGGGAGGAGAGGAGAGGAGAGGAGAGGAACGACGATTCGTCAGCGGAACAAACTAACGGCAAAAAACACTCGTTGCAATTCATCGGCACATCGTTGCATGTCACAGCGAACAACACCAGTGGATCGACAACTTCATCAACCATAACAACCAGACAACTTCTCAGCTCGCATGAGCTCTCACACATCTCACAGGGATATCCCTTACTACGTTCACCAAGAATGCAATTGAAACGATTGCCAACACTGACAACAAGACCTCTTCGATCAACACTGACAACAAGACCTCTTCGATCAACACTGACAACAAGACCTCTTCGATCAACACTGACAACAAGACCTCTTCGATCAACACTGACAACAAGACCTCTTCGATATTGAACGTGGAACATTCATACCTTCAAGCTGCCGAACAAACTTTGACCCCCCAACTGCTCCAGAACGTGAGCAGCAACACAGCCAATTTAGGTCCACCCGCTCCCTCTTCCTCCGTTCCCTCCGACCCTCGGCCCCTTCCTCGCTCCTCTCCTTCCCTCTCCGTCCCTCCTCCCTTCTTCTCCCCTTTTCTCCTCCTCCTCCTGCTCCTCCTGCTCCTCCTGCTCCTCCTGCTCCTCCTGCTCCTCCTCCTCCCTCACCATGGTCTGCGCTCTCCTCCTGCTCGACGTGGCCGCCTTCGGCTTCAAGTTGATCCCCAAGATGTCACTCAGGTCCGCGTCCTGCCGGGAGCCATGCTCAAGGAAGGAAGCACGGGGAGTGAGACGAGGAGGAGGTCGTACCTCGCCCGGCCCCTCCTCCTTCCCCTTCCTGCTCTCCTTGAAGATGCTGAGCACCTGCAGCAGGAGGTCAAGAGGCGGCAGCAGCTCCTTCATCAAGTCACATCCGGCGATCCTTCGGTGGAAGGGGCCTGCCATACCCGTCAGCTGCCGCATCCTTCCATCCTCAGCATGAAGACCCGCTCGGGCGACTTCTCAGCCTTCTTGCCCGCTTGCTTCTCGTCCTCGTCCTCGTCCTCGTCCTCCTCCTCCTCCTCTTCCTTCCACTGGAAAACGGGGAGTTTTGAAGGAGCCTGCAGAAAGGCCAGTCGGAAAGAGGGAAAGAATCGGAGCCGTGCAGCAAATAGGAGGAGCAGGAGCAGGAAGAAGCGAATAGGCAGGAGAATGAGGCACGAGGAGGAGGAGCAGGTGCAGCAAGAAGAGCAGAAGGAATGAAGCAGCAGCAGCAAGAGGGAGTTCACCTCCCTCTTCACTTTGGAAGGAACGTCGTCGTCGCTGTCTTCACTGAGGTAGCGGGTGAGATTCTCTGCAGGGGCAGCAGCGCGAGAAGACCTTGCGTTGAAGTCCTCCCACCCTTGAGCGAGGAGCTCGCGTCTGACTTCTTGGAAGACTGCAAGAGGAGATCAGTCAGCCTGTAGCAAAACATCTCCGATATGACTGATGCAAACACCTTCGATGACGATGATTTCTTGCTCTTCCCCTTTGTCTTTCCCTGAGCGACCCGTTTAGCCAGCACCCGATCAGTCGCCTACCAACACCTCCGAAGAGTCTTTGCTGTGCTTGCCCTTGCGTGAAGATCTGACAAACGGGCTGAGTCACTGCCTGTTCTCAACGCACACATGCAACAAGCAAGAAGTAACGACTTCTTCTGCGACTTTGACAGGGCGGAATCATCGTCGTCAATTAAATTCAGCAAGTCGTCAAGCTCTGCGACCCCTCCGTCATCGCCCCTGCCATCGCATGACAGGACGAGCACCTTTGCTGTCTCCCACCGCCTTCGTCTGAGATCCTAAGGGAACTGTTTCCATCAACCTCATCAGCACCTGACGCTTGTCACTCGCGCTACAGCAGCTCACCTAGCCCTCCTGTTAGCGACTTCGATGCGGCATTGCCGCTCGGACGACTTGCATTCAAAGTCGGAGCTCCTGTCAAACCATCTTCTCAGCTGACTGGGTTGAAAGGTTTGGAGGGTCAAGACGCCAGCATGTTACCGGAAAGGGTCCCCAAACCGCTCATGCCCCCATTCAAGTTCGAATTTCAAAATTGAAGATGGAGCTGTGGAATTACGACAGAGGAAGATGCATCTACAATCTCACAAACAAGTTAGCCGAAGGAAGAATGATTGATATTATAAGGATTGGGAGAAGGCTCCAAACAACTTGCGGAGGACTTTAGTGTCAGTTGCACTGATCGTATTTTCCTGCATCAAACTTTTGATTCATCTTCTCACGCACTCATCTTGCCTTACTGCCTCTCTGAAGGTTCTTCTTCACCATATCTTCCTCCTCTCATCTTCCTCCTCTCATCTTCCTCCTCTCATCTTCCTCCTCTTCTCCTCTACTTCCACAGCGCCGTCCACTGGCTAGATTTCCTCCATATGCCACCATTGAGCAACTTCATCAGGATCTCCTACGGGGTAGTGGTACCACTCATTCTCTTTAGTACCCCGTTATTGTGACCTTCCAATGCTCAGTAAATGACCGGTGGTAGTTTGGGCTGGTGGGTACTGGGGTCAATATGTTGATCAAAGTTTCAAAAAAAACTACCCTCAACATAACTAGGACCCCCAAATCAACACTATGAGGTAGGGGTATCGAAGATCCAGACCGCACTGCTGCGACCCTCATACCGCCGTGTCCCGGGCCGGGCCGGGCCCGCCCGGGGTCACCGGGTCCACTGTACGGTCAAGTTGAAGCATGGCATCGGAACTCGGAACTGGCCGGGGCGGCCGCGGCTTGAACTTGCCCGGGGCCGCCAACCGGAAATCAGACCGTACTACGCCGTGATGGCATGACTCAGTGGCAGTGGCAGTGATGATGTCGGGCCCGGGACCGTGCGCCGGTACGGTCTGGTTCAGCCAACTTGCCAGGCCCGGGCCCTGAATGGCACATAACGGCGCGGCCACGCAGTGCCCGGCCGGGCCGGGTGGCCGCCAGGCAGCACGCCGTGACGTGTCCGGCTGGCCCTGGCTGCAGCCTTCCCAGCAGTGACTCAGACTCCGGGCCGGGAGCGCGCCGGCTCAGCTGAGACGCCGCGGCCCGGCCCGACTGAGACGGCGGCCCGGCCGAGCCTTGCCAGTGACTCGCGCAAGTGCCACGGAGTCGCGGCCGCCCGGCGCCGCGGCCGCGCCGGGGCCGCCCCGTGTGGTGTATGAGGGGATGTAGGGGTGCGCGGGGATGGGGGGACGGCGGCGGCTGAGAGGCGTCACATGCAGGGGCAGGGATGCAGGGGTGAAGGAGGGAGGGTGGGAGGGAGGGAGCGGAGAGGAGGAGGGGGGGGGGGCGGGTGGAAGGGGGGGAGGGAGGGGGAGGGGGAGGGAGGGAGGGAGTGGGAAGGGGGAGGGGACGGGAGGGGGAGGGAGGGGGAGGGGGAGGGGGGAGGCGGAGGAGGACGGGGAGGGGGAGGAGGGGGGGTTAGGAGGGAGGGAGGGTGGGGAGGGGGA